TCGATGGGCGTTTCAAAATAGAAAATAAAAAATTGGATGAACGCAAGCCATTGATGAAGGTAGTCATGGTGACTTTGTCATTCGACTTTTCAATCTGGAAGACCTCCTCGTTAAAACAAGTAAGGTAACTCCTTAGACTTTCCTCCCGTTCTTGCTTAATGCTGAGTAAATGGGTGATAGGCTTCTGTGCGGTTGTCCTCCTATGAAATAGGAGACGAATGATTTGCTAAGTTCAACAAAAGAATTCATGGATCTGGGTCTGAGCTTGGCGAACCATCGGTGTGTAGACCCCTTGAGGGTAGTGGGGAAAGCCTTACACTAAAGTGATACGAATTGAATATTTTAAACATCGAATTGACAAAATTAATATAATAAGAACTAAAGTGACAAAAAATATATACTTTAAGAACCAAAAATATTATTAACCCAAAAAAAAATTCTTTCTAAAAGTTAAAAGTTGTGGCTAAACATGTTTGTTTAGTAAAATATTCTATAACGATTCAAACTACTCTAACAACATATCTTAATGAATCAAAAAGCTATACAAAAAATTTGTCATGTTACTCAAAAAATGTGTGATTTTTCATGTACGGCGCGAACTCACTGCTAGTATAATTGTTAAAACAATAACCTAATATAAATTATCTATAATATAAAACATGACAGACTTCAATAAGTTTATCCGACGGTCTCAAATAGTAACATCAAAATAGTAACGTGCTCAACAAAAATTTAATTATTGTAATAGAGTGACACCCCCACAACAGAATAAATACTCACATATGGTGTCACTCTATTGCAATGATTAAATTTTAAATTAAGTTTTTTATTTAGTATATTTCTCTTTGATGTTACTATTTTTTTGTTAAGTGTGTTACTGTTTGATGTTACTATTTTTTAGTTGAGCATGTTATTGTTTGATATTACTATTTTGTTGTTGAGCATGTTACTGTTTGATGTTACTATTTTTTTGTTGAGCGTGTTACTGTTTAATATTACTATATATATACATACACACACACACACACACACACACATATATATGTGTGTGTGTGTGTGTGTGTGTGTATACATGAAATTTTAAAATTTAAATGAAACACAAATATCAAAAAGAATCTTGAAAGTCTCACATTGTAATATTTATATATTGGAAATATAAAAGCTGTCAATTTGGTATGTACTATTTATGGTAAGGGTAATTATAGAATACATTTCAAAAAGAATATAAAAATGTTTTAAAATGTGTACTTATTGACAACTATTTGATGAAAAAAATGACTTAAAGGAGGATAAGTTTGAAGGTGGTACTTAAGGCCAAATAAGTTCTGTGCAAGGCACTCACATCCCATTTTCTCATGTTTTTATTGATCACTTGTTATTTTTTTTATTTTATAGGTTTTGTTTGCATAAAAGAATTAGTAATTAGCTTGGATTTTATTATATAGATTTTTTGTTTTTTTGGTGTAATTGGTATGACTTTTTTTTTGGTGATTAGCTTGGGCTTTGTGTTTTTGTTTTTTGAGAGAATTGTTTTATATTTATTGGTCACTTTTCATTTTATTTGTTGGTGATTTGCTTGGGTTTTGTATTTTTATTTTTGGGGGAATTGTTTTGTTTTTATTGGTCACTTTTTTTTTTCTAGAGCTTGGGGGAATTCTTTTTTATTTGGAGAACTATATGTTTACATGTAGTAGATTTTTTTTTTTTTTTGTATAAATAATAGCTTGAAGGGTGAATTTATGGATTAGATATTGGTGATTAGATTGAGTTTTATTTTGAGTCAACTTTTTCTATCAGAAATTCAACTAATTTTCAAAAAAATGTGTAAAACCTGTTAATTTTTATTTATATTTAAGATTTTCTCATTCTATGAAATCATAGAAAACTTTTTTTGTTTCCTTTAATTTTGGCGTTACCACCCTTCTTGCACCGACTGGCCCCGGGTCTAATACTTAAGGGGAAACACTATATTACAATTTTTTTTTTAATTTTTGGTGTTATTATGTTCTTGTTCTTGGTCCCAAATGAGTCACATGTGTAAGTATTATCACCTAATTCACTGGTTAACACATTCTGAAAAATTAAAAAAATAGGAATGCAAGCACACACATGAACACACTGACAGATGCATGAACACAAACACAGGCACACACATGAACACATCACACACACATGAACATACACACATGCAAGCACACACATGAACACAACACACACACATGAACACATACGCACAAACACAGGCACAGTTAGAGAGAGAAAGAAAGAGAAGATCCCGAGGGAGATAAATGGACTCCTTGCAGTGGATGGTTCAGTGTGTATTGAAGGTGCAATGTAGAGATAGAGAGGAACTGAGAGGGTGTTACTTCGGTGTGGTATGTATTGCAGCGGGGGAAAAAGTTAGAGATAAGGGAATGTAGCTTGTTTTAAAAAATGAAAGAGAGGGAGAGAGAGTTAGATGAAAGATAAAAAAGAGGGAAAGAGAGAGAGAGTTGCTAGGTGAGATAAGGAGGCAGATTTAGATGAGAGATAAGGAAGAGAGAGGTGTCGGGGTGAGGATAACTTGAGAGATAAGGGAGAGAGAGAGAGGTGCCGGGTGAGGAGAGTTGCTCGGAAAATGGAAGAGATGGGTTGATAGCATTTTAAAAATGGAAGAGAGGATGGAAGAGATGGGTTGCTAACAGTTGTTGGGAAAATGGAAGAGAGAGTTATTGTATTAGGGTTGCTGGGTTGGTGGATAAGTAAAATAGGGTTGTTGGGTTGTTTAATTTGGTGGGTTGCTGATCATTTAAAAATGGAAGAAAGGAGAAAGAGTGTATCGGAGAAAGAAAGAGAGGGGAGGGAGAGAGGGAAAAAGAGTTATTGTATGACATAGAAAGATAGAGTTAAATGAGAAATAAGAGTCTGTATTAGTTACTATTAGATAAGAGGAGAGAGTTAGATGAGAGATAGAAGTGTTAGAAAAATTTGGTATGAGGACCGTCGAATCAAAAGTCTTGAAATGATCTGAGCCGCGAAAAGTTCAACACAAACCAAGCTAACTACTTTATTATATAGATATTTAAAATTTAAAATTATAGGTAGGATTTAAAATTTGAACCTCATTATTTTGAGAGGAGAGAAATAGAAACAAAATGCTGACATGATATGACAAAATTTATAGAGCAATATTATTGAGACATAATTTGTTGACCTAATTCTTGTGACATTTGAATTTGATGTTGATTCAATGATTTCTAAGAATCCACATTATTATATTAGTAAATTATGTCAGATTTTTAGGTGCAAATAGTATTACTCAAATTTATAATATAAAACATGGCAGAGTTTCAAATAGACTTATCCAACAGCCACCAATATCCCTCTCAAAATCATTCACACTGCACTATGCCTTAAGGTACGAGCTATCTTTAATATATAAATATAATATGACAAACTTTGTAGAGAGAGAAAACAGAAAGAAATATTTCATTATTTCCATACAAAAATTTCTCATTGGTATTGAGAACCAAATAAGCAGGACAAGCTGGTATACACTGCGCATAAAAAAATTACTCAAAAAATACTACCAAATAATTATCTTAACATATTTATGGTATCCTTTCAAGATTCTAATCATTTTCATTTAGATCTCACTAATTTAGTCCAAATGACAAAACAAGTGGACACCACAATTTTTTTTTTTTTTTTTTCAAATTGGTGGTTTTAAAATCTGAACCTTGGAGGCTAAAATGGTAATTTTAGGCAACTTTTGCACCTTGCTTCCAATATCCTTCCAGTTTTGCCAATTTTCGGAGTGATTAAAAATGCTGGCAGAAGGGATGCATCTTCAACTCCTTTTTCCTCACCTTTCATTTCAATTTTTCTTCTTCACCAAACAAAAAAACATCATTTTTACTCCACCCAATTTTCCAACAAACCAAACAACCCCTAAGTGCAATTATTGAAAAGAAAATAGAGGCGGACCCGGTGCAGTACCAGTTGCCGAAGCAGTGTGTTTTTGCTGAAAATTTTGAGATCAGTTATTTCTTTTGTTTTTGTTTTGTGTTATACTGAATTTTGATGAGTCTAAGAACTCGTTTGTGACTTTTGAACTCAAATTTTCATCCATTATGTTGCTATACTTTTCACTGCAATTTGTTATTCTTCATGTTTTGTGCGATCATTATCAGAGCTATGAGTTTTGAAATTTGAAAGTTGTGCTGAAGCTAGGTTATGAAATTTGGGGGTTTTTTTTTCTTGTGGTGTGTTCTTGGATGTAGAGTTGCTAGATTCAAAAATCTATGGCTCAAGAAATCCTGGGCCTGGGCTGAACATATTCTAAATGAAGCATTGGCCAACACAATATTAGTTGGAGGAAAGATGATACTTTGAACTGGAGAAGGGTTTATTGGTGTGAAAGACATAGCTTTCTAAGACCTCCCTGTCTTCTTTTCGATCCACTTCTTCCTCGAATTCTGGAGTGAAGAGTGAATGAGCATCTCGATCTATGTCCATTTGTCTTTTTTAGTTGATTTAAAAGCCATAAACATCTGATAGAATAAGAAAAACATGTTAAAACTCGCTAAATAAAGCTTTTGCAAAATTACGAACATACCTTAAGTATCAACAATTTATATATTTTTTATAAATCAATTGAAATCTATTGTTGATGGAGAAAACAAGATCAAATACAATTAATCGGAAAAATTGAAAATTCCTTCAAGGATTAATGTCATAGCATTAGAAGTATAATATGAAAAAAATTCCAAATTAACATAATTTTAAACTAGCTAGAATGTTTCAACAAAAACAATCACAAAACATCAGGAGTTGATACCAAAATATATGGAATTATTTATCAAAATACAATCCATGCACCGATCCAAAATATTTTAGCCATCAAACATATTTCACTCTTAACGTCCCACGCCAAGCGGTGACTCAATACCAGACATGGCAGTAGCAAAAACACTCCCCAAGGATGATGAAGGGAATGTCATTATAAATTAATTTGAAACTTCATTGCCAAATAATGCAGCCATGCCAACTCCTACAATATCCATAAATACTTCGGGCATGATAACTTCCCTATCCAAATACTGCATTACTTGCCTCATGCTAGGCCTAGTCATCGGATTATAGTGTGAGCAAATCAGACCTAGTTTCAAAACCAACTCCATTTCCTCTACCACAAAATCACCTCCCAATCTCGGATCAGTTGCCTCAAGAATTGCTCCTTCTTTCCATTTCTCAACTAAACCACAACTCATATTTTTTCATAGGCTTAAAATCTATTTAAGTCTATATAATAGCAAAAATAGAAATAAAATTCTCATTTTGGATAACTAATGTAAATATGTGATAAAAATAGTAAAAAATCAGTCATTTTATTCATATAATACTAATTAAATATGTTTATCGCATCAAATTCAGGTTATTTGTATTTATAATATAAAACATGACAGACTTCAATAAGCTCATCAAACGGTTTTAAATAAACTCATCCAACATGCCACCAACATCTCTCTTTAAACCATTGACATTGAATTTTTTTTTTCAAATCCATCACTTTTCACTTACGTTGCACCATACCTTCAGGCACAGATTATCTCTAATTTGATAATAAACTGTCACACTTATTATTCATTTTATCTAGCCGTATTATTCTGAATTTGTATCAAAAATTAGTTAAACTTAGCCTACTAAATTTTTGTCAATTTTGAATCGTTTTAACGTATCGTCTCTAAGCGAAATTTTCAAACATTCCCACTTGTATTTACATAAGAATGTTCCACATGACGGGACTTATCTTTCATCACCTAATAAACATTCTCTGAGTTATCTGCTTGGTTCCAAAAAAGAAGCCTCTAGGATACGGCAACACGAAATAAATCTACTAGTTATGGCCATGGACTTATGACTGGCGTTACACCGAAGTTTCTATCCAGAGACATAAGTCATGATAGTATTTTGCACATTTTACTTGATTCCCACAAGAGGCCCCACAACAGACCTCCAAGAAAAAAGAACCCCAAAAAAATAGGCTATAAGGTATCCAAGCAAGTATATATGTACACACACACTAGTAATTGCTCATGCCTGAATACACTATGTAATAAACAAAAAATCACAACCAATTATCCGTGCTTAAAGGCACTGTTCACAACACAAAACAATTACCAATCAATAAAAACACACTACTTTTTCAAAAAATTTCAATGGAATGTTATCTGAAAACTGGACTCTTAAACAATATAAATATGCATATACAATCCATAAAATCAAATTAGTACATATTTTTATTTAAAGAAATACGATCCTAAACCAATTACCAAAGGCACAATTTAAAAAAAATTATCTGAAATATTTTTACTTCTTTTTGTTTAATTACACAATTTATAATTAATTCGGGCCCACTAAAAATATTGACGATATTTTTATCAAATAGCACACAAGGAGACTCAAAGTGGACAATACCAATTATCTTGAGCATAAGCTCAAAGTAAACACCTATCTATCTATTTTCTTTTCATGATTTAACATTAGTCCTAGAAATATACCATTTAAAATCAACATCGACTTCCTACTCAAAACCTAAATATGTGCACATTGAAATCTAAAGGCCTAAAAAATCCAATATGCTTGGCATTGGAGTCTTCATCACCAGGAATCAACAAATTATAGCAACATTTAGTCAATCAAACCTCTAAGTGGGAAATCCTGGCCCAAATTCTAAATAATTAACTCAAAAAAAGAAAGAAAAAGAAGAAAACTAAAATACAAAATATCAGTCAAGTTGACAATTACAAATTTAGCAATGCAAATATCCTTGCCAAGAAAAAAAGAATCATACAGGATAGGCATGTCCCCCATACTAATTTCTTGAAAGAATCTCATGCCTTACTTTTCTCAAGCAGGTTATTGTAGATCAATACCTTAAGAAGGGTGCAGAAATCAATCACAGATTTAAGGACCACTTGTACTGTTTCCCTGTTGCTTGCTTCTAATAAGCTTCCAACATTCTCTGTTGGACAATATGCAATGTCTAAAAGAGTATTGTACATCAAAGTTGCCATCATAGAGGCACCACCTGTCTACTCCAAGCTTGGCTAAGAATTCAAAGTTTGGTCTCACTGCATCATGAATTTATTGGAAATAAGCTTAATTTTACTTGTTAGTACATTAGATGAATTAGTGAAAATGGCCATTTTAGGTTTAACTTACTCCTCCAATTCGCCTATGTCAATGAATTGGTACCATCTTCCCATGGCCACAGCTTTGTAGGTGCACCAAATGGGTCATCTCCTGCTCACAAAATGTATAGAAGCTTGAAATGTCGATGTTGAGAATGATTGGTCCAGCACTACAAACCATTTTCTCACTATGATCGGTTGGAGTTAACACCTTGGCAACCACAACTTTAGAATAGCTTCGGGACAAAAAAAAACATACAAAATCCTATTGAATTCTATATTCCTATGGGATCCAACTTTATAAGTTATAGCTCTGCTCCATCTCGGCAATATTGTGGTTGGTTTTCTATCAACTTCACAAAAAGGAGAAATCAGCGAACACTTCAAAAAAATTACAGTAAAATTTGTTTGGTACACTTATATATGAAAAAAATTAAGTAAAGAGATCACAAATTTGTAGTGAGGCAACCATACTTGAGCAATAAACACACATGAGATGAGAGGGAGAGAGAAAGGGAGAGTGAGCAAATTTAAACCTAGAATCAACCCAGCCTGGACTTCAACGCTGCCAGCTGCAATGACATTTACTAATCGATTCTTTTACATCTACAATCGTTGAACACGAAAAACGAAAAACAAAAAAAAAAAGAAAATTATAAGGGGAGTTGGTGTGGGTGTGTGTGTGCATATGGGGAGGATAGAAAGGGACGGAGAGAGAATGGCTGGGTTGCTGAGAGAGAGATACCTTGAACATTGGTGGCGTCGAAGATTGGCTGTTGCACTGTTAGTGTGGTGCTGGGATTCTTGAACATCCAAAAAATATCATTCTATTTTTTAACCCATGCAGGTTGATATAGCAAAAACAAAACAAAATTGATATTTTTCCTAGTCCTTTGGAACAGAGGTCATGCCACACTGTTATCCCTTCCATACAAGCTGACACCATTTTAACCCAAACACCACATATAAGAACACCCAAAAATGCAAAAAACAACAAATACCTACAAAAAAAATAGAACCTAAAACCAAGGGAAACAATAAAGCAAATATTTAACCAAATGACAAAGAAAATCAATAAACACCCTTAATACACACCCTTACATCTAATGAGAAGAACACCGATTTGTACGTGTGCTATGTGTGGTGTGTATGCTGGGTATGGCAATTAATCGAACAGGTTGCATGCGTGCGATGCGATTATGCAAGTGCGATGGATGTGTGTGTGTGTGTGTGTGTGTGTTTGCTATGTGGGGTGTTTGCTATGTTCAGTGTATGGGTGTGTGTATATGTCTATCTGCAGAGAAGATGGGGATGATGTGTTGGGGTTGGATTGGGGTAACGGCAGAGGAGAGGGGAAGAGAAGGAGGAGAGATCGGGAGAAAAGGAGATACGGAATAGCAGAGAAGAGAGGGAGAGTCAAGGAGAGAAGAAGACTTACCTTAAATTTGGGGTGGTGGGAGGACGGTGGTGGTGCGCTATAGTGTTGGCGGTGACGCTAATAGGGTGAAGAGCTAGGAGAATGGCAAGAGAGAAACAACATTAAGGGGCTGATGTTTGAGAGTGGAGAGATTTAAGGGATTCTAAAATTTAAAAACATTAAGGAGATACAGAAACATGAATAATTAAAAAAATAGACAGCGGAGTCATTTAAGGAATTCTAAAATTAAAAGATTTAGGCGTGATTAAATTTTTTAAGGGTTAATATGGTGTGTTGAATCAATATTTTTGAAATTATTTGAGGTGTTTGAACGATTTTATAAGTTTGGAGTTTGAAACTCTTTGTACTTTATTATATTATATAGGTATATTAAAAAATTTCATCAATGTATTGTTAAGTCAATTTTTTTAAACTAAAAAAAATGAATTCTTTATATAAATTCTAGTGGACCTATGGTCTTTTATGACAGCTGGGATACAAAGAGGTTCTTCCCTTTTAAGTTGAAAGAGTGATTAGCTAGATATTGAGAGTGCATTTCTTTCATGTTTTTTAACTAGTAAACAATTGAATTTTCTGCTCCTAAAAAGATAGTTGCTGAGAAAAAGGGGTGCAGTAGCGCCAATTATGAGGTTTTGAAGGCTGTTTTTGTGTCTTTGTGTCACTGGAAATTTTCAAGATAAGTGACTCTTTGTATTGCTTGATATTGTACTGAATCTTTTTTGGTGATACAAAAAGTATTTTGAAGGTCTATATGTGATGTTGTATAACAAATTTTTTGTCCCTTAATTTTTTGCTCTGTTTTGTGTTTCTTTTGCATTGTTGGTGAAGTAATGGGAGAATATATACTCAAAAAATTTGGTATTAGAGAAATATTTGTGGCTACATAAAATATAATCACTCATAGCCAAAGGATTAAGCTCAAAAAAATTAAAATGATTCTCGAAAACCCTGGGAACATAATCTAAATGAAGCATTGGTCAACACAATACTAATTGGAAGAAAGATGATACTTTGCACTAGAGGAAGATTTATTTGTGTGAAAGACAATTTTCTAAGACTGTCTTATGCTACAACTTAAAGAATGTAAAATCTAAGCGTAGGCTGTCGCAAAATAATAAAAACTCGAAAGTCTGAGATCATACCACAAGGACTTGGGAAAGACTTAGAACACAAGAAAAAATAAAATAAAAATACTTTGAAAATTATTGTAGAGATTTGTGTGATCAAAAGAACAGAAATTGATTGATTAAAAACAGAAATTTAAAATACTAAAGCATCAGGGATACTCTTCCATTTCCATACAACAATTATTAATGATCCAATTTTTAAACCTAATTGAGAATTAGTTGAGGAATGATCCCAATTAAAATATTTAGTGGTTGATTAGCCTTAGATATTGTGTTCTTTTGATATTTATTATTTGCTAATTACGTTGGGTAAGGCATTAATTGTGTTGAATTAATTGAGATTTGGATATTATCTTCTCTTTGTAGTGTTAGTCTAATTTTGCAGATAAACTAGTGGAATTAATGATGTGAAGGACAAAATACATAAATGGAGGAGATCCAGATCAATAGGGATTAAAAGGAAGCCTTTTGCCTAATGTGCATGGACGATG